TCGGATCAGCAGATGTCGTCAAACTCGTTGCAGGAGTAAGAGTGAAAACATTAAAGTTAATATCAACAACTGAAGGATAATTGGCAAATAAAAACTATTCCAGAATTAACTAAACGATTACGTGATGACATCAAAAAATACCGGAATAATCAAGTGAAGTTCTTGGAAAACGATGAAATGTGTTTTCGGAGTCGAGCAGGTCGGCAGCGTAAATTAGCATGTTGACTATGCAGAGTCACCTGCATAAAAAAACAGAACTAACTCTATATATTTATTAGTCTATGGTAATAGCAAAGTAAATATGGACTGCAATCATGGTAGAAGAATATAGAAAGATGCATCAACGCTTGGGAACATTGATATGTCAAAATTTTTAAAATGTTTTATCAAAAATAAGTATTTTTTTAAATGTTTTCTTATACGACACAAATCGGTGGTTGTTTTATGAATTTTTTAGCAATTTTTACAAATTTCAATAACTTTTAATTTAATATTTTCAATTCCCGTTCATTGCCCCAGCAGCTGTGTCGATGCGACTACCTGTATTATTCTACCATGGCTACAATTCTAAAGATTCAGACAAGAGAGATGGAGAGAGTGAAATACTTTCTGTTCAAAGAACAGCGGCGTTACATGAATAAGCTGTCTCGGTGCTAGTTATCCCCTGAATGATCTCCAGTTATCTACAGGCAATAGAGGGTCATAACATATGAAGACAGGCTACGAAATGTACCCAAAACCCGCCAAAAAAAAAAACGATGGAAAAGTGTCATGGGTTTTTCCGAAAGTACATGCACAAAAATTCAGTGATAGACCACGTGGAAGACTATTCGGTTTCGAAATCACCTACACAAAATAGGATGCAGGTTACCATGCAAGGAAGAAGAACAAGTGATAGACGACGTGGAAATTCATGGACATACGAACGGACATGCATAAATCGACTCAGAACGTGATTCTATGCAGCTATTGTTAACAATTTTTACATTAAGTGTAAATTTTGTACATTTTCGCACTGATATAGGTCTAATCTAAATATTGTGATGGGCTAAAAATTAACTATATCGGGTACTCCTATGGCTCAATATAAGTTTAGAATTTTTTAGACAATTTTGAACTTTTTTGGCGGAGGTATCTGAAGGATTGGACCCATCTCCAAACTCGATCTAAGTTTGGTAAAATATTACAATTTATTCGGCGTATCAATTTTCGTGCAGGCAAATATTTTGCCGTATCAAATGATATATACCCACTTTAACCGTACGGCTGAGCGTAACAAATGTACATTGGAAAATCATCAATACTAACTACTTAATCGCTTGTCAGAACAATGAACTTATGGAGAAGAGTCAAGTCTATTATGCAGTGTACATATTACAAAAGATCGGTCGGGGCTTCCCAATTTGCTTACCAAGCACATCATTGCCTTTGTAGAATTTCTAAACTTTATCTTTAGCCTTAGAGTAATTTCAACAGACAGACATTTTTGCCAGCTATTATCATAAAATTATAACAGTATTTAAAAAAATTATTGCAAGCTCACGTTGAAATAGTTTTTTATTAGCGTTACAAAAGCATATTAGCATTGACTGAAGAATTTAACCATGAAATTGTAACTACAATTGTTTGAATTTGTCAAAAAAAAAACATACGCTTTTATTAATTTTGAAATAATGTTATGAACAAATAATTTAATAATAATTTGATATCGGAGATCCCATAAAACATATACATTTTTCATCAGCGTGAAAATCTATATATATCTATATATATAGAATGACATCTCAGATTCTATTAGAATACGAAACCTGGATTAGCGTCCGTATAGCTGTACCTCCTAATATATGTCACTACCTGTAGATCCAGGTTTTGGAATCTCTAGCTTAACCTTAATTTTTTTTTATTTGTCCAGAGATTGGTATCTTCACCTTTATTTCGGAAACTCCTCCTCTTTGGGAATTCGACTGGTTATGCGGATATTTGGTCCGTAATTTTAGACAAAAAACTGGTGCGAGTCAGTTCTAATGAAATGATACCAAAACAATATGTATCTTAATAATCAACAAGCGATGGTATATTGAGGTTATTTTCACCGGTTTGCCATCAAAGAAAAACAATAGGATTTAAAAACAAGTAAAAAGCAGCTAAGTTCGGCTGGGGCGAACATTTAATACCTTCCACCATTTGGAACAAAATGCCAAACTGTAAAAAATACGTTGTAAAATGGAGTCATACGAATACGTGGACCTCTAGAGCCAATTATATGTCAGAGAAGGCGGTGTCTATTACGAACTTAAAATACACATTTTGAGATAATGCTGTTGAAAAAATGCAGGTGAAATCGTCAAAATTCGAAATATAGGAAGATGCCGTTAAAAGTTATAGGAGGAAATGGACCTGTATAGGCAATTTTTTGTCAAAAAAGGTAGTATCCATTACGAACTCCAAAAACCAAATTTGAAACAATTGCGAAGAAAAGTGTAACACAAATCATCAAAATACCGAATATCTGGAAGTACAGTTATATGAGGTCTATACCAAATGTTGGACCACTATGGACAGTTATATGTAAGGATGTTGCCTACATATTGGCAACAACAACTGCAAATTTACAGTAATTTTGGGCCAGAATTGTGATTAAAACAATGAAAATCTGTTGGTACCGTTATATGGGGACTAAACCAAAACATGGACCTATAGGGCCCATTTTCAGTGCCAAAAGTTCTACGAACCTAAAATGCATCTGAGTAATATTTTAATAACCTACTTCATTTTGTTCGGAAGCTAAAGTGATTTCCACAGACGGACGAAGGTATGAACAGACGGACATACAGACAGGTGGCCAGTCAGAATTTTATGCCGATTAAGAATGTATATACTCTATGGGTTCTAAAATGCATATTTCGAGGTGTTACAAACGGAATGACAAACTTAGTCCATTCATCGCGAATGCATTTGCTTTATTATAATCTACACCACATAGTGGTAAGGGTATTATGTCTTTGTACATTTGTTTTTTAAGAAAATGCAGGTCACATTTATTATTCGATTGAGATGAAATTTGGCCCAAGGACAACCCCTATTGAAATTGGTGAGAATCAGTTCAAATTTAGATATAGCTCCCATATATATCTTCAACCGATTTGGGGTTAATTGTGCACGAAATGACCAATACAGTCCAAATGACCTGAATTTTTGTACATCCAACCAAATTCAGTCTAGAAGCAAGTACATCAAATTTGGAAAAAAAATCGGTTCAGATATAGCTATAGCTCCATATGTTTCATCCGATTTGATGTTTAACTCCCTCACTCCCTGCACTCCACAAAAATGATACTTGGTACCAGATATCTAAAATACCTCTGCCAAATTTTATCAAGATTGGCTCAGATTTGGATAAAGCTCCCATATATATCTTCAAACGATTTCGGGTTAATTGAGCACTGAATGGCCAATGTCAATCCAAATGACCTGCATTTTTGGGTATCCGACCGAATTCAGCCTAGAATCAAATACATCGAATTTGGTGAAAATCGGTTCAGATATAGCTTTAGCTCCCAAATATAGGTTTCATCCGATTTGGTGTTTAAGTCTCTCATATTCGTAATATGCATTCGACAACAGTGATATTTGGTACCAGATATCTTATAGAATTCAGAAATACCTTTGCCAAATTTTATCAAGATCGACTAAGATTTGTATATAGCTCCCATATATATCCTTTATTGTGCAAAAAATGGCCCAAATGGAGTGAATTTCTTGACATCAGTTTCCATTTTGTGGAAATCGGCTCCGATACATATTTTTTTAATATAATCGTTCTCGAAGTGATATCATGCACTCTATAGCAATGTCAAATATAGTGAAAATCGATTCAGAATTGGATATGCCTCCCATATATTAGTTCCCTCTGAAACCAAACTATAACTGCTCTAAAGCCAAATGTTGATAGTTGGTATGATCTACTTCAAATAAATTCTTTTGATACAGAAGCTCTACTAAATATGTTTAGTGGTTTAAGGTCCCGCCCGACTTTTGACTTTTCCTTACTGTTTTTTTTTTTTGTTTTTGGCTCACGGCGCCCTAAATATTACATTTTTAGATATTTTTACAGAATTTAGCTCGAAAATCTAATTTTGTTTTGAAATGCATAATGCGAAATTCGACCGAATTAACCGTTTAAATTAATAATGATTATTCTAAGGATAAATATTTATGTAAACATTCAAATTGAGTTTATATTTATGAATCGATACAGGCAATATTTGGTTGAAGTTCTTAGAAATGAAAACATTCTCAAAATTTGATAATTTCTCTTTCGAGTGGATTTTCTCAGAATTAATTTGTGGGTATGCTATCAAATTTGCATCACACCTTTGCTATGATTCACAGAGTAACCCAGCGTTTATGAATGAAAATTTAAAAAGTCTGTTTAATTTCTTTTTTCAATTTTCTTTTAATTTCTTTTATTTTTCATAATATTTCGATTAAAATTCTTTATAACTTATTAAAAATGTCAAAAATTGTTAGGAATATAATCGGCCCTGTGATGTGTTAAAACACAATTTGAATACAAGATAATTTATTCTGCGTTAATGTTAGGCCGTTCCTTAAAGGGGGTTTAAATAGATTCTTAAAAACTAAACATTCAAAGAAAAAAATTAAAAGAATACACATCTCACATCACTTTAGAAGTCGAATTCAAACATCCTATTTATTATAGTTTTAATGCTATGCATACATTCTGATCACTGACAAATTCTGTTTTGCATTTAAAAAAAAGAAAAAAATATCCAGAAATTGAAATATCTCACGGACAACTCTTAAATAATTTAAATTTAAATCAATAGCTGCAAAAAAGTTTTGCAATCTGCTCAAATGATTCTCTTTCTCGGAAAGCAATTTGTGCTAACGGTTAATTCCTTTTATCCAATTTATTTCGAAATTTACCGCTAAACAAAATTTGCTGATTTCATTAAATTATTTTTATTTCAAATTACCTTTTATTTGTTTTTGTATTTAGTTTCCTTTCACTCGTTGTCCGCTTTTTATGCTTTAATTCGTTAACCGCTCACTAATTGCTGTGATAATTTTCAAAACGTAAACAAATTATTACGAGAGAATAAGGGTTTGTTATTGGTTCACTCGAAAGCGTGGTGGGGAATGATTATAGAACGGAAAAAATGCACGCAATTACATTTTATGCCGAGAATAGCATTGAAAGAAAAACTGCACAACACAACGGAACCGAACCGAACGAATGAAATTAAATTTCGACCCTTTCGCTAACGTTAATACGCCAATATTCCGTCGCACATAAAAGCCGAACACAAAAATTGATTTATTTTTAATTTTCCAAATATAAGTCAATATTTTTGTTTTGTTTCTATTTTCACTCGATTTTTCGGATACACTGTTAGAAAACAAAAGAAGGTACTCAGTTGTTTACACTCTACAATGATTATTATGGAATATAAACAACAACATTAATATCGCGGCGACCATATGTTTCCCGATTTATGTTGTTACGAAAGTTTCGACACAACATAATGACAATAAGCTATGTTGTAATGCTTTACATAGACATAATTAGCATACAGACGAAGAATGGAGATGTGTCTGCATGGATAAAACATACAAATCGTATGGCACATATATCCACCAACCGAACGACGACGTCAAAACGTGATTATGAATACCGAAATGAAAGAAAAAAATATGGGCCACAAAAACAAAAACAAAAACAACAAATAACAAAATTGCGTTAATTCATTGCACACCACAACCGCACACCACACCACAACACACCTCGATAAAATACCGTCTGCTATTGAATTAGCAGCAGCCGGTTATTTGCAGACAATTCGACGAGCGAACAAGTTAGTGAATGTTGCTAACAAGCAATTTACTGTAATCTAGCTTTCTTTTATTATTCCAACAAGCTGATATAACCCGCTAACACCGCTAAAGGGGGAAACGCATTCGTCGTATATAATGACCGTAACGAAAGATTTATAAATTCAATTTTCCGTCTACTGAATGCACACCAACCATACCGTTAAACGTTACAATTCCTACTGATCAGTTCAAACGAAAAGTGACAGGAAATATAAAATCGACTAAGCGACTCGATTTTATTTATCGTCTTTTGTAAGATGATTACCGACTACTTGCAAGTGTATTTCCGTTAATATTTAAATATGGAAACGGGAGAAGCATTTTTTGAATGATTCCTGACAAAAAGGTCTTTAAGAAAATTTAAAAGAAAACAAGTAAAATTTCGAAAAGAAGAACAAGACAAAAATTTCAAAATTTTAAATAAAATAAAATGCGTTAAAGATTCTGTTAAAATTTTAAAAATACCGAATATGGGGTGTTGCCTTTATTTTGGGACAGACAATGCCTTGGCAATTTTTGTCATAGCCCATTACAATACTCAAATATGACATTCCGGTAAATAATGTAGCTAAAATCATCAAAATACCGAATATAGGGGGGTACCGTTATATGGGTGCTATACGAAGACCTTGGCCTGCATATACAATTTTATGTCACAAGCTGTAGTACTCATTAGGAACTTTAAATGCGAAATTTTAAACAATTTTGGTGGATAACGTCCCTGAAATCATCTAAATACCGAATATAAGGGGTAACGTTATATGTGTACTATACGAAGACCTTCATCTGCATAGACAATTTTATATCAAAGGCTGTAATACCCGGTGAATAGTGTCGCTAAAATAATCAAAATATCGAATATAGGGAGATACATTTATATGGGGACTATACGAAGACGTTAGCCAGCATAGCCAATTTTCTGTCACAGGCTGTAATACCTATTACGAACTTCAAATACCAATTTTTGAAACAAATCCGGTGAATAATGTCGCTAAAATCATCAAAATACCGAATATAGGGAGGTACCGTTATATGGGGGCTATACGAAGACGTGGGCCTTTTTGTCTTAGGCTGTAGTATTAATTACGAACTTTAAATACCAAATTTTGAAACGATTCCGGTGAATAATGTAGCTAAAATCATCAAAATACTGAATATAGGGAGGTACCGATATATGGGAGCTTACCGAAGACCTGGACTTGCGTAGACAATTTTCTGTCACAGGCTGTAGTGCCCAATAAAAACTTCAAATACGAAATTTTAAACAATTCCGGTGAATAGTGTGCCTAAAATCATCCAAATACTGAATATAGGGAGTAGCGTTATATGGGTGCTATACGAAGACCTTGACCTGCATAGACAATTTCGTGTCGGATACTAGAGTCATCCATTAGGAACATCAAATACGAAATTTCTAACAATTCCGGTAAATATTGTATCTAAATTCGTCAAAATATCGAATATAGGGAGATACCGATATATGAAGACCTGGACATGCATAGAAAATTTTCTATCACAAGCTGTAATACTCTTTAGGAACTTCAAATACGAAATTTCAAACAATTTCGGTGAATAACGTCTCTGAAATCATCCAAATACCGAATAGAGGAGGGTGCCGTTATATGGGTGCTATACGAAGACCTTGATCTGCACATCCAATTTTCTGTCACAGGTTGTAGTACCCATTACGAACTTTCAATACGAAGTTTGAAAAATTTCCGGCGAACATCAAAATATCGAATATAGGGAGGTACCGTTATGTGGGGGCTATACGAAGACGTGGGCCTGCATATAAAATTTCTGTCACAAGTTGTAGTACCCATTACGAACTTTCAATACGAATTTTGAAACATTTCCGGCGAACAATGTCGCTAAAATCATCAAAATACCGAATATAGGGAGGTACAATTACATAGGGGGCAAGAATAGGTGTGTCTGGTTACCCTAAAATTTGTAACAATTGTTAGAAATTGTTACTGGAAGTCGTCTGTTAACTCGAAAGTTCTGCGAAAGAGAGCGGTTGGAGAGAGAAATTTTGACAGTCCTTTCAGTGAGAGTTTGCAAATTCTTGCTGGACAAATTTCTTCTTGCAATCACTTGCAACTCTTCTTCCCATCCATCAACATTCAATCAGATGTTTTCTATTGTTGGTTTATTTCTTTTTGTGCTTTCAATTAGAAAGTGTTTTTTTTTTTTTGAATTTTTCACTTTTTTACCTAATACCTGGCACATCCCTTCGGGAATTTGGTGTGTGACAATTGGTTAGTTTTGAACTTTTTTGAAACCATGAAAATTCAAAGTTCAATAAACTGCCATAAGTAGATTACTTGGAAAATTTCTATTAGATTACCGTATTCTTTTAAATCTAGACCATTTATTTTGGTAAGTTGGTAATAGGTATATCTTGGATAATATAGAAATTTTTTTCTGTTTTAAAATTCTGTTATTATTATTATAATAACCGAGCTTGTGTTGGGAATACATTTGAGAGAGTTGGGAGGGAACAGATTTAAATCACATTAACAAGCATATCCACAAAATAAGTTGTGGTGCCAGTTGTATCTGAACAATACATATCTAAATAACAGTAATATTTTTAAAACAAAAAGAACACAACAAAAATATGTTTAAAAACGTGGATGAGAACGCAAATACAAAATTTTTTAAGAAATATCCCCAGAAAAAAACTTGTGGAAAAGATCGAAGATAAAACGTTATTAGTTCTGATATGCTTCCAGTATGGTAAGTAATTTTACAGTTTGGTAAGGACTTTTACAGTTTGGTGAGTACTTCTAAAGTTTGGTAAGTACTTTTACATTCTCATGTTAGGATGGTGTTTTCCGAGCACTTGCTGGTACGAAAATGTATTCAACATATGCATTTTCGGTAATTAGATTTTGTTGAAAAGCTTTTTAAAAAAAGTAAAAAAGCATCTAAGTTCGGTCGGGTCGAACTTTTTTTACTATCCACCATTTGGAAGAAACATGAAAAATTTCCAAAAAATTCTGTTCGCTAAAAAAACGCACAAATGAAAATCGCTATGTGAGGACTATACGAAGAAGTAATTTGTGTCATAGGCCGTACATAAGTAATTTGTGTTATAGGCTGTAGTACGGTTCCGAACTTTATATTTGAAAACATTTCGGTGAATAATGTCGCAAAATTCGTGAAAATACCACATATCGGGGGTATCGTTATACGGGCGCTATACTAAAACTTGGACCTATATAGACTATTCTCTGTCAGGGGGTAAAGTACTCATAAAGAACTCCTTGTGTACAATTTCAGAAAATTCCATTGAAAAATGTGGCTCAAATCATAAAAATACTGAATATCGGGGGTACCGTTACATGGGGCTATACGATATCGTGGACCTATATAGACAATTCTCTGTCAGGGGGTAAAGTACTCACATGGAACTCCTTGTGTAGAATTTCACAATTCCATTGAAAAATGTGGCTAATATCATCAAAATACCGAATATCGGGAGGTGCCGTTATATGGGGGATATATGATGTCGTGGACCTATATAAACGATTTTCTGTCATAGGTAAAGTGCTCACAAAGAACTCCTTGTGTAGAATTTCAGACAATTTCATTTGAAAAATGTGGCTAAAATCATCAAAATACCGAATATCGGGGATACCGTTATATGGGGGCTTATTTGTTTTGACTGTAGCGTGATTTGTTTTACGCTGATCAAGAATATATATACTTTGTTGGGATTAAAATTATCATTTCAATAAGTTACAAACGAATTTAATATATCCTCCATACTATGTATGATGGAGGGTATAAAAATACCAATCGTTTTGCCGACAGATATACAGTTCTATGACAGATGTACTCAGCATTACTATAAAGATTGGACCAGATGGTACCACAAGAAGTCGACCAACCATGTTCGCACTAGTACAATTGTTTAAAAAAAGTCGATGAATTATTTTGCATTCTATGAGAGTAATATTTTTATTTTTAAAATGTGATAAGTTTGAAGAGAATCACATGTTACAAATGTTGACCCTTTGTGTGGGATGTACTAGTAGGAGTTAGCCGAAATTGTCCATTTTCGCACCCAACCTTACACTGATTTAAATATGAGGATTTGCAAAGTTTGAACGAAATTGGATAACACTTTTTCCTTCGAAAATGTTAACCTTTTGTGAAGGAGGTACCAAAAGGAGTGGACTGATATTGCCTATCTACGAACTCCATCTAAGTTTAGTAATAATATTACGTTGAAAGTTATGTTATCCATCTCATGATTGATTTTTAAGAATTATTTCGCGGAGTATATTTTACATTAATTAATAGATTTGTTCCACTGTAAAATTATTCAAATCATTTTATGGTCTTGGTGGATTTGCATATAATTTACAGATTCACTTTGCATTCTATTGTATGTTTAGATTTTATTTTTATTCAACCAAAAAATATTACCATTATTTTTATAGTTTCTAAATAAATTGTTTGCATTTACATTTTACATTGAAACGTATCTTGGAGCATTTAAACAACAAACATTTAATGAAAAAGTTGATATACATTTTAATAACAATTGTTCTGTCCCAGAACTGCAAGGATGTACTAATTTGTTTCTACGATAAACGATTTCCCCTTTATGATATCGGAAAAAAAGTTGCAGAATTGGGTTTTATGTATGTACAATGTAAAATTAAATGCTAATATATATTGGGTGTGCTTATCTACCCTGTCATAGATTACCATTTGAAAAAAAAAACTTAAATTACATTGATTAAGATTATAAGCATATGTATATACATAATATCTATATTGCGATGAATTTAAAATAATGAAAAAAAAATATTTTAAGAGTACAAAATTCAAATAATATTCTAAATCATGATAATAACCTTGTAGGATATTTTAATAGAATTGTAAACATATACTCGCAAATATTTAAATTTCTTTGACAACACCCAGATCCATTAGCATCGTTGGAATTTTCGAATATGGGTCATCAGTGAATTCAACAATGTATTCATCATTTTCTCGTCGAGAAAGTTGTTTAACTATTTTCACATTTATTGTTTGATTTAATAGAATAACTACAACTGCTTCATGGGCTTGGTCCAATCTTTTGTTTGGGTACCTCTCAGGAGTATTAACATTGGAAAAATATTGTTCTGCTGTATGGACCAAATTAATCTCAGCTATTCGGAAAAATGATGCTTGCGGTGGTGCCTTTTTTTGGTGGGAATTACATGTGGCAATGTGTGTGGCTGAAACCAATTCGGTATTGCCGAAATCTATGTAGAAAACGTTATATAGATTTTCATCAGCTTCGTGCTGTGGTGTGATAATTTGAGCAATTTTCGCGCGATACCAATGGTTGTCTTTTTTGTAACGTGCCAATATAATATCGCCTTCTTGAAGTGGTTTACTATGATTTCTTTGGCTTTGAGGAATTTCTAAATCATTCCAAAAGAAAACATCGCTATTTTTATTTGAAGAATCCTCCAAGACACCATAGAAATGTACCGGACTCAAAACATGTGTTACCGTTACTTTCGCAATGCATCCTTCTTCTGTACCATTGGCCAATGGACTTTTATTCTCATTGTACACAAGAGATTTTGGTAATGGCAGAGGATCCAAATCATTGTCCTCTTTCATATAATCCTCAAATAACATTGAATCAAGAAATGGATTGCCACCACACTTATTTTCCATGGTTTTTGGTAATTCTTCTCTTGAAAGACTATTGATTTTACCTTCGCTTTTAATTTCCTTTGAATCTGTAGCAGTTATTAAAATTACTCGCAATGTCGAAGAATCTTTAGAGAGGACTTTTAACTTTGCCATTTTATATTCACTGGAAATCAAGGCTTTTTTGCATTTTACATGGTCCTTTATAATTTCACCTTCAGCAGACTCAGATACGCCTTCTAAAATGCACTGGATTGCCAAGGGTGGGATGTTTGCAAAATTTAATGGGATTTCAAAGAATTGGTATTCATCGGTTAATACAATAACTTCACCAAAATCAATAAGTAGAGCAGAGTTGGGATTATCGCAGAATTTCAAAGGTAACCGAACAGCTCGCCACACACATTTCTTGTTTATCTCACCACACGTTTTCTTTTGTGATACCAGAAATAATTTATTCGTTTCCCAAGGGTTGTGTATAGGTTCCATATTTGCAATGCAACTAATTTGAAATAATATTTTACAGTCGTTCGACTCGCAAACGTAGAATACAAATGCATTGCGTTCCTTGACATGGGTGACAGATGCCAAAAAAACGAAACCCTCCTTGAAGTGTGCGAGATTCTTTTTGGGTAAAATTGTTTGCAAATATTCGTACTCGTCTGTGATACTAACTGAATCCGATGCGGATTCATCTCGAATTAAGCTGGCATTTTTTGACTTAATACGCTCCGGTGATGATTCTATAGCCTTCTGTCCTGCAACAACAACTCCAGCCCCAATCTCATCCTCACAGTTTTTCCGCCCCAGTTTTGACCATTGAAGAAAATCTTGAAATATTCGTGTCTTGGCACAACAACCCACGCCGCCAATTTGAGTCGATTCGAATTCACCCAGAAATACAGATTCCGGCAGTTCGGTGAATTGGAAATGTATATTAAATTTCCGTGCCAAATTGAGGACCGTTGTCAATTGCGCCATATATCGATCGAATGCTAAATATGTGAACATATTGCCCTTGACACCGTTGGAGTAATTCAATCCGTTGCTGAGAAGTTTTTGCGTTTGTTCACTGCTTGCCAGGAATCGTTCCATGTTCGCAAGCAATGTACGCAGTTCTTTTTCGCACATGTTGTGCATAATGGTCATTTGTTCCGTCCCTGGCAGGCTCATTATTGAAATACAAAAATCTTTTATTTTACCAGAAGATTATACCAACCAAATAGGCGAAAGACTTTTCTTTAAAAGTTTCAATTTCCTCGATTCCGTTATTCTTAAATGTTTAGAATGAAATATAAAACCTAGGGATACGAATCGATGTAAGAAAAATCGATTTGTCGATTTATTTCAAAACATGCGCTCTGTTCCAGAACATACAAAAATCTATTAGTGAACATGTCAAATATATCAAACAAATTCTGCAAAAATAAATTGATTTTTAAATATCTACTAGTTTCGGAATTTTTTCTTTATCATAGGGGAAAACCGGTTATCATACTAACAACTTGTACATACTTGCAGTTCTAGAAGAGACCAAAAGTTAAAAATTGGATATAGTAGTAATATTTTTTAATTCTTACAGTTTCTGGAACAGAAAACCTTACTACGATAACCGATTTTTACTTTAAAATAATAAATAAATTCAAATTCTTTAAGCTTCTATAACAGAGCAATATATTTCATTCACAAATTTCGCTATCTACTCGTCGTTCGACACACAAATTTACCTTTTTGTACATTATTCAATTCACTCTATGAATAACGATAAAATATGTCTCAATCGTTGCACATGATATTATTAATTTAAAAAAAAAAAAATAATAATTATGACATATCACAACTCAAAATGAAAAGTGTTTATGAAATTTTGTACGTTTTCAGAAGGGAAGAAAATCTGTTCTTTAAGCCCAACACCATGGTAGAAGAATACAGGTAGATGCATCAACGCTTGAGAATATTGATAAGTCAACAAATTTTGAATGTTTCTTCAAAAATAGGTAGATTTGTGTATGCTTTCCTATACGACGCCAATCGGAGGTTGTTATAATGTGCATTTTTTACACTTTTTACAAATTTGAATAAATTTTCATTCAAAAGTTTGAATTCCGAAATTGGTTTGACAGTTCTTCTATTCCACCCTGCCCAACATGGAGTTAAAAACTGCAGCCAGTAAATTTCTTTTGCTATCGACAGTATAATTCGATAAGTAAAATAATCGACTTAGGGACCCCTACTCACCCCATCTCCACCACTACTTCTAAACTTTTTTCAGTCAGTTCTGTTCTAGTCGAAGAAAATCTGAAACTATTAATAATCTGGAGGAAATTGTTAATTAAAAAAAGTACGGATAACTAAATTAGCACAAACGACTTGTGAATGAATGTGTGAAGTGGAACTGTAATAACTAAACGCATTGAGCAAAAACAACACAAGAAGAACACACACTGATTGAAGATGACACTGAAAAAGGAATTACGTCTACTGGCTAAACCCTATTATTGGGTGAACATTCTCATATCCCTGTCCTATTTGATATCCAAAAAGACAATTCCCATTTGTTCGAGAATTTTTCGGCACCGAGAGGAAGAGATGTGCGAATTGGATAGCAGAGAAACCGAGATTCTTTTCTTCTTGCTGATCATCATAATGATACGTTCAAGGAAAACGGGCAGTGTGACCATGGTTAATTATCTGTCCTCCTCGTTCTTGTACACCAAAGTAGCTAATGGCATTTTGTGGGCCTATAGTGATTTTCGCTATGGCCTTGGATTCCTGCTGCTGTGTGTGCTGGTGGGCATGATTTTGTCCGAACCAACATATAAGGGACCAGAACACATTACCTATTTCCGTACGGCACAGGCTTTCGAGGATGAGTTGGCCCGCGATAAACGTATCAACTGGCTAATTTGTTTCTATACCGTGTGGAATCCAAGTTGTGTTAATTTTGCACCAGTATTTGCTGAATTGTCCGCCGAGTACAATTTGGATAATTTGAAATTCGGAAAAATTGATATTGGTCGTTTTCCCGAAACTGCACAAAAGTATCGCATTTCCGATAGCAGTTTCTCCCGACAATTGCCAACGGTAATTCTATTTCAAAATGGCAAAGAAGTGGAGAGGCGTCCAATGGCCGATGCCAAGGGAAAATTGCAGAAATTCTTCTTTTCATCGGATAATGTAAGGGCTGCCTTCGGTCTAAATAATTTGTATAAACAATGTGTGGAAAACCCTCTGAAGCCTTCCAAGCAACAACAACAAATATCTGCCAATGCCAAAAAGACTAACTAGATGCAACAAGAAGATATACAACATACATGAATGCATAATACTAAAAAATCAGAATATCGGGTGCTGACAGCTATTGAACACGTCAATATTGTCGTCATAAAGTTACTACTGTTGCTACATTTGATAAGAAGTTTTGAACAGATTTCTGATTTGATTTGTAGTGTTCAACAAGAGATATCACTACATATTTAAACCAACACCACCACTACCACCACTATTTTAGTCACTTGTTAAGTTAATATTTTGTTTGTATTAACATGAATCGAATAGAACGCGTTTTCATCCGTGTCATTGAGTTGTTTTTTATTTTTAACTATTTGTATTATTTGTACAAATGAAAGTTTTGTTTGTAAATTATTTTCTAAAAAAAAAATATTCTATTGTGGAATACATTTAGCTGCTTGCATTTTATTCTTGTCCCCTATGTTTGTTTCCTTTTAATTTGGAATAGAAAAGCATTTATTTTTAATACATTTATTTATAAACACCTTTCATCTTTTATAATTTTTTCATCTCTTGAATAAATAATAAGAATTTAGTCAATTTGTATTTATTAAAGCGATGTGTTCTAGTACCGTTGTCATTAGTATCGTACTTTGAATATATTTTTTAGTTTCAATGAAAATGTTTTTAGGCGCAAATTAATTTTTTTTAATAAAGACATTATTAAATATAAACGAGATTCTTAACATTTGGCTTCCTTTCATTATAAAATCAAGTGGATGCTTTAAAGTTTGGGGTTTCCTATACATAATGAGGGAAAGAAAAGTAGTAATTTGTTTTGTGAGTGTCCATGAATGTCTTTGGCATCTCCCTCGTTCTATAGACCAACTTAGTGAATTCTCTAAGGCTAAAGTGAATAGTGAATACGAAAGAAAAAAATATTCCTTATGTCAATTCTTTAAGTCCCAGACGTGGATCCGAATCAATCGATATTTAAGTCGACAACTCGGTGATGCCATCTTTATGCCACTTGTTTCAAGTGATATATGAGTATTACTCCAAGAGATTTCAACAATACTCTCCAGGAGGAGAACAAGACCTAAACTTTGTGGTGGGATTTATCACACCATAAAAATATGGACCATAACTTCCAAATTGCGTGGCGACGACATGATTACTGCTGACTAACATGATTACTGCTGTAAACTAAAAATACCAAATTTGGAACAATTCCGATGAATAGTGTTACACAAACCATCAAGATAACGAATATGTGGAGGTAAAGTTATATGGGGTATATACCAAAACTTAAAACTCTATGTACAGTTGTCTGCAAGGATGTTTACTACATACTGGGAATACATATTCCAAATTTACAGCAATGGTTTGCAATTGTGAATAAAATGCCCAAAAACCTTAAAACTATCGGTGCAGTTACATGGGACCTATACCAAAACCTGGACCTGTGTGGTCCATTTTAAATACCAAAAGTCATGCAAACCTGAAACACATCTGAGTAATATTTTATAAATCTACATCATTTTATTCGGAAGCCAGTGCGTTTTTCACAGACGGATATCGCAAAATCGATATAGAATTTTATGCTGATTCAGAGTATAAACTTTGGGGGTCTAAAATGTATGTTTGGAGGTGTTACAAATGGAATGACGGGGTATAAAAAACGGCGTTTAGTGTAGTTAACTCTGACAACATTTTTACACGCTCCAACAGATGAAAATCTTTAAATGTCCATAAAACCCCTGTAAATATCCATATTTCTTTCTCATACTTTTCGATGGAATACGCACATAGAATACGCACATACAGCAAAACGCTTAAAATCAGAGCTCAGATTTGCTCGTTTTCACTTGCGAGGGCAACATGCTCGCGATCAGGAATGCTCGAAGAGTGAGAGTTTTATACTTTGCATGAAAATCTAATTCTACCCTACACCACAAGGTGGTCATTATATCAGGGTCAGGGTATTATGTCTTTGTGCATTTGTTTGTAACAGGTGAAAGGAGACGAGTTATACCCATAGTTCCTCTTGATGATCTGCATAGAATCACATTCTGAGTCGATTTATGCATATCCGTCCGTCCGTCTGTCCATGTATTTTTGTAAACGAAGTACAGGTCGCATTTATTGTCCGATCCAGATGAAATTTTGTACAAATCGGTCAAAATTTAGATATAGCTCCCATATATATGTTCATCTGATTTGCCTTTTTGTGCACCAAATGTGTAATATCAACACAAATATTATGGAATTTTGCACATACGACCAAATTAGGCTTGTAAATAAGTATGCCAAATTTGGTCGAAATCGGTTCAGACATAGGTATAGCTTCCATATATATTGTTTATCCGATTTGTTATTTTTGTCCTCCGCAGCCGATTTGTTATTTTTGTCACTCTGGAAAAACAAATACAGCTCAGAAATACCTTTGCTAAATGTTATTAAGATCGGGTCAGATTTGGATATAGCTCCCATATATATTCTCGTCCGATTTGCCTTTTATTATGCACCAAACGTGTAATATTAGCCCAAATGGAATGGAATTTGGCACTTACGACCGAATTGAGCCTAGTGTAAGGTGGTGCCTGCCCATAATTCCTTTGCCCCTCGTATTAAATATCCTTTGCACACTTTCAAACACAACATTTTCATTTCAAATAGAATGGATACTCCGTGACGATATGTTGGTCAATAAATATACTGCAACGCCATCTATACGTATAGTTTATGCAGTTTTTGCAGGCCTATTTATCAGCTAGTTGGTAGGTACAACATCTTTATTGTTCTTCCTTTTCAATCTTATTTTTTTAAGCGCCATTACTAAGCTTCTTGGGCGCAAAAACTAAATCGCTCGGTCATTTGGTCGTTTCAACCTGGTACAGTCTAGTTCACGAGTGTCTCTAAAATATAGTCATATGCAAATTTAACCTCATAATTTTTGCACATCAGAAATCTTGTTTAAACTGATTACTTGTTTTCTTAATATCCATAATCGGACACTGGTGAGTTTATCACAGCAGACTGAGTCAGCTACAAATTTATTATTTACAAATTTGTGTCTCAATATGTAGGTAATTTTGAGTGACATATACATTTTTCTTTGTAAACGACAAATATTTAATATCCTGCGGTTCACTCCTTGCCTCAAAACCGATATTCTTTTCACATTTCTTCTCCGGTGCCACTTCGCAAAACGCGGTAATATGTTTTTTTTAAATCATTTAATTTGAGAGCTAAAGTTCTTTTAATACTTCTCTCCAATAGAACTGGCACCACCAACCTGCAGAGCAATTCCAATATACCCGTAGCTTTGTAGGACCATAAAAATACCGGTTTTTTTCTACCACCAAGCAGAGGTTTGCATGCGGAGATTACAATCATTTATCGTCTATGCTTTAAACCGAGAGTGCAAATGGTTCTGGAAGAAGTCAAACTATCAAATTTTTATAAAACGAAAAGTGCCAGCCAAAAATTTCAAGATATAGAGAAGAATTTGGATCCTTCCTATAGAGAAATAAAGCCTAACATAAGGAACAAAAAAAAAATATATTTTTCTTCGTGAAAATTCTGAGCCACAACATATATATGACAATCAAAAGGTTGAACCAAAAGCAACAGCAACAACAACGGCAGCTGAAACACCAGCAGTAGAAGCAGCAAGTATAAAATTTTTAACCATGCTGTATCAACGTTTGTCAAAATGATTTTAAGAAAGATTTTAAGTATAGTTTAATAATTTATGAAACAGGCATAAAAGTAGTGGCATATGAATGTTACTTCCTTGAAAAGTGTAATGTATAACAATTGGGAAAAATTCATTAAAAACGAGAAAATAGTTTTTTATTGATTTAACTTTGAAGCTCAAAATTCAAATGCCAATTTTTTTGTTGCTATGTGTAAATATGCATAATTTATTTAACAACATCTCCCTTACCTTACCCCTGTTTCAATCAAACAAGTCAAACACACATTGAATACACAACTCACCATACCTATATTTTTGTCTGAGACATACAGACATTACAATAAGAAAGAAAAAAAGAGAATACTGTTTTGTGTACTTGACTAAGTTTGATTGGGACAACCTATCTACAAGAGTGATAAGCGTGTTGCTAGTGCTGAGTTGCTGACTGTTCTCAACATTGTTGCGAGAGATAACAACTACAATAACAAACTCATATGATCTCTACGAAAGGCCTTTCGACGCGGGATTATGCAGGGTAAGTGAGAATCAATTTTTTTCTCTTAAATATAATTGCAAGAACGCATAGAAATTTGATATTTTTTTCTCTGTTCTCTATCCACATTGTTGATACTGTAAGTTGACTCATGAATGTTACCAACCGCGTATCAAGTGTATTAAAGTGGGTGATGATTTAAGAACGACAGAGTCAATTATAAAATTTTGTTCAATGTTATTATAATTTTCTTTGTTTTATTTTTTTTTATCAAAACCTCACCCACATGATGCAATTAGATTTCCTTAGGATTTATTTATTTGATTTTATTAGCCTTATTATAGCTAAGATTAAAAATGAAATATGAACTTTAAATTTGTAAGTCTAATATTAACTTTTTGTTATAATAAATTGAAAATGAATCGATTGGAGTAAACTACGTAGATGTTTGATTCCATGGTGTAGTTGGGTGAATAGGCCTTCTAAAGCAGGGAATCACAGACGAAACATCAGTACAATATTTGGAATATAATCATTGTGATCAGGTTGGGTGGGCATAAACCGCCGAAATAAGATCTTCTCGGCCCGAAACTTTAGATAACCGCAAAGAATTAGTACTCTACTCCTCTTTTTTTCTCTCTTTCCGTCATTTGTTTTATTAAGTGAGCACGTACAATAAAATAATTACGTGTAGCCGAAGGAAGGACATGAGATCTTTGAACCTACCCTCCCGACGAGTAATCAGGCCGGAACTTAACGTGCTCTTGCTCTCTACATATGTCCTTAATACCATCGCCTTCAATCATAGTACGTTATATGCTACATAATTATTTTTGGCGCCCAACGTGGGGCCAGAACAACAAATAAAATCAAAAAGTAACATCGTATGAATTATACTCTTATTGTTCTGAGTCTTTAAATGTATGTAATTTTTTTTAATTTTCCTCCTTTTCATTTTTTTAACACTTCCTGCAGTTTCAGAAATTTAAAAAAAAAAAAGAATCAGGATAATGATAGAATCAAGGTTAAGGAATCAGTTCTTCATTCCGGTTTTTGGGAAAATTTCTCTTGGATGTATCAATGATGTCATTTTTTTTTGATTTCGTGGGCATGGAATACAGATTCTGGCAGGATTAGCTGGTTCTGACCCTGACACGAGACAGGATATATGACGTCAGTTTTCACAATGTTGGTTAAAAGGAGCATGGATTGTATCCTTTCCAAATTGTGCCTTCATTCACTCTACTTCCTAACTTATCTTTACCCTAATTTTCTTTTTTTTATTTTCTTTGGCGGTTATATCTTATTTAGGCCTCATCTATATGTCATGGAATCAAACAATTTAAATATACATTTTCTTTTCTTAATTTTTTTTTTTTGTTTTAACCCGGATTTATTAAGAAAATAAAAAGAAAGTAATTTGTCCACTGAGGTTTTAATTAAAACAGTTATTATAATAAATAAATAACACTAATAATTTAATTCACATAGGTGTTAGGTAACAGCTATAGTTTTAGAGTTTATAATTTCCTCTATAAATTCC